GACGTTTTATGGTTTGCTCATTCCTGATCCGTTGAAATAAACGGCCCCCGGGTCCTCCGGCTGTATAACCCTTCGCCTTATGATCTCTAACTGTTCTCTCCGGAATTATCGCATCGTTAATAATTCCTCGGGAGCGAAAGGAACTCTGCGAGAGGATTCGAGGATAGAGGCGCGATAATCTTAGGCGGAAAATGAGAATGTCCTTACTCGAACAAAGCAACGATGCTCTAATGAACTAACGTGTCCGAAAATCTTCACAATTTCAAGAAAGAATCAATACTCAATCGTTCCCCTTTGCAAATGTATTTTTCAATGAATAGTTTCGTCTTCGTGCTCGATGGTAAGCTGTTAGAAAAGGAAGCTCTACAGTTCGAGCAACAATGTTTACGAGAGCAACGGTTTGTTCGTCTCATTGGCGGAATTCCGTGATACGCAGCGACACCGGTATTTCCTAAGGATTTGAAGAATTCGAGGACACCATGGCCATGGCGGTGGCACGCCCCTAAGTACAGGACACCGCGGTTTAGAGAGTGAATTTCGTGGTTTAGCATGCCGACCTGACATACCGCCATAGAACGTTTGGCGACGCGGAGACCGCAATTGCGGCCGTGTCGTCGTAACACCTTCACCGGGAGCCATGTTACGCGCGCGGTAATAAGGAAACTAACGCCACCCGACGAAAAATATGGCCGAACGCTCGTACCTCGTTCTTGTACACATGCTTGCAAGTGGTCGAGTCAGGAAACCGATCTTGCTACAGCTTTATGCTCGAGTACTTGCTGCTTCCTGCGTTCGAAATTTATGGACGCCCATTAACAATCAATCGTGTGGCGCTGAATTAATCCTAATGTGGATTCCAGTACAAATAGCATTATTCGTGTATTTATTGAAAAATCGATGCAGTAAGAAATTAATGTTTTATAGATGAAGATTCTTTGAAGTATGCAAAACCTTCAAACTTCATAATTGAGTCATTTGTTCGCGACTCAGTAGTTAGAACATGAATATTTCATCTCCAGTGTCGATATTCGTCCGTAAAGAGTTAATATCATTATTATATTAATTCTAACGAATTGAAGGGTACCTCAATTATACCTCGATTGCATCTGAATGTTACGAGTGCATCCCAATTATATCTTAGTACCACGGATGGCAATAATATTACATATAAATACCTTCGGAACTCGCATCCACTAATTAGCCCGGTAATAATTGCGCCAAAGAAATAAACGAATTCGGAAAAGTCCAATATTTGCCCCGACAGTGTGTAGCCGGGATACGGTAATTGCAGAACGTGAAATTGAAAAAGTGCATAATGGGATGGGAAATCGATGAGGAGTTTTCGATGCCGGGTAATCGCGATGCAGCTGCAACTTTCATGCGGGCAATATGAAATTTTCGGTAATGGGGGCATTAATATGATAATTGACGGGGGGTATGTAAATGGAGCAGGGGCCGGGTTCGCAGGGAGTAAAAGGAAGAAGCGAAAAAAAAGGAAACGAAAAGAATGGCAGAAGAAAAACGCGAGGGAGAAAGGAAACCGGTGGGCATGGCCCGCGGAGATCGTTACGAAGTCACTAATTCTCGAGTGCGGATTTCATTAAAGCGGCTCGTTTAAAATGTAATGCCCCTCGAGATCCGCGTATTACCAGGAACCCCGGAAACCGCTTTCCACTCCTGAAATCCGCCGGTCAATCCTCGAAACACGCTGCTCCTGCTGAAGAATCCTTCAGTGCGGCCAAACGGTCGTTTTATGGACAGAACTCAGTGACTTAACAGGTACGAGTGATACAGACAAATGTTTCAGACAAAAGTTGCAAGGTATAGTGCTAAGCGTATGGTGGTTATATATTTGTTTGCGTCATGGGGATATTATGAAGCTTCTCCAGTGACAATGGATAACTATAATTTCGATGCTCGATTGCTGTTCGAATTTTAGAGTGATTTCTACGATCTGTTTCGCGCGAGACAGTTCAATTCGACAGCGACCGTCTACGTGAGTATAGCACAACGTTAAATCAATCTCGCGATAAAAGTTCCACACGAAATTTCATAGATCAAAGTATTCTTCAGTCTTCCCGAATACGTTTTCAACGAGCAAACATTCCACCTCTATTTGTTTGAAGGAAACCGGAGCACACAGCGATTCAAGTTCAACTAATATTCGTGCATTCGAAGACGCCCTCGTCTTCGATTATACCTCGACGCCCCGTGGCTCGCGGAAATTCGATTTAATCGTAACGCCCGCGCCGCGGCATTACGTGTGTATTCGGCGAACGGAACGGCCGATTCATTTGCATTTATAATGGCCGCGGTCCGGATTGCGCTCTAGAGAGCGATAAACATTACATAATAAATAGACCAACATAATGGCCAGTCGTAATTGCTCGTTATACATGTGACCAATTCGTCGCGCGGATGTAAGGTCGTCGATGTTCATTCGATTTTTCGATCTATTGAAAAATCCTGAATAATTATTTGCAAGATTCTTAACGCCAAGTTTCCTGTTTCCCAGGAGAAGTTAGAAACTAATGTCTCGAACATCAATACTGGAACTACAGAGAGTCTAATATGATTAATAATTGTATTAAATAATTTCGCAATGATTATAAAGATTGTGGCTATAGACAATATAGTGGCTATAGTCTATAGCGAAATAGAAAAATTGAAAGCTATCGTTTCGACGAGCGTAATGGTTCTGTGTTAAATGTTTCTGTAACATATTTCCAGTGATAACTTAGGAACGATGTTCTTCCAATTGTGATTCTGCCCCAGCGATTTCAGTTTTGGTTCGTTTTCTGAAATTATTCCGGAACAATCGCGTGGTTTCGTTTGATATTTCAAGGCTCGCGTTTCGCCGATAAAAACCGCCGCTGTACAGTTCACCCTATTATCTTAATTTATTCAACCCTTGGGGCAACATTCGAGACTATTAAAATCACACCTGGTGCAGCGCCGTTGTTTATCCGAAAATTCTACTGTACGTTGCGGCGGGAGTCGCGATAGCGGTTGTAACGCGAATTCTGTGTTTTAATTGTGTGAATCGTTGAGACGTGGAAAAAGTAATTTTTATTTCAGTACGAGGAACATTTCGATGTTCAGTTGTGGACGTTAGACATTTGAAATACTGTAGATTTACGTGGACTTTAATGCTGAAGGAATACGCACGTTGCAAGTATAATGAGCTGATAATAATACTGTTGTTTTGTTATCAAATAATCGAGGATAATGTGCCTCAGACCAATATTTGTTCTTGTGTTCGTTAAATAATGTATGCTTAGATTACAGATGAGTTATTTACCGAGGTACTGCTTTTCAGCCTTAATAATTGATCTAATCTTTCGAAGGGAATTTATGAAACAAAATTGTCTTCCATTTACTTGAAATTAATTTTATTACCTACCTTAAGTGATAATAAAAATATTCAAAGAAACTATTCAGAGAATTAGATTCGAAAGAGATAAATTTGAAGGTCTAAGGATATTAGAAATTATGTTTCAAGCAAACAGCACTGCGATCGCAACGAAGATACATATTAAAATTGTAGCACTCGATAAGTTGAAGGTTCACTGCCAGAGCAACGATTTGAAGTCCCTCGAAAAACATAGACAAAGGAAATTCGCCAGGTAGTTCAACTCATTAATCAAGGGAGAATGTATCCA